CAGTCGCTGAGAGTCTCGCATGCAGAATCGCCCGCTTTCGCGACCGCGCTGGAGCTGGAGACGCTGCATGCATGCATGCGCATGCATGCATGGACATGGAGCTGAAATGCCGGGAAAGCTTCAAAATTAGGCTTTCGTGCAGCTAAACCAGGAAAGGTCAGGGACTATTTGTGTCGTATGGATTACAAACTCACCGGACACCCGAACTTCGACATTAGCGAAGCGTCGCGTGGCCAAGTCCATACAAGTGAGTGACCTTTGATTAGAACTTCATTTTTAATCGAGAATTTAATCGAGATACACATTGATTCAATTACGCACCGGAGCTCTTGTCCGCTCAGGACACATGCCGAAGCTGACTCTTGACTGATGTGCCGGCGCCCTTTCCTATCATAGCTGCGAAATGCTTTCGGTCACGTCGTGAGCCCCGCTAATGTCACTTCGGTCCGAGATTCACCATAATCTGCATAGCAGCGCAGCTCTCACACCAAGACTTCCTGCTCAACTTTTGGCTTTTGGTATGAATTCATGTTGATTAGCACTCGGACTTTAGCGTTTCCGTACACTCTGACCCAACTGAGCGAAAGGATTTGAAAGAAGAGCTGACCTGCACCTGCACCTGCACCGTCGAATCACGAATCGTGTCGTGAATGAGTCGCCTGCTGCTGCTGCTTTGCGGAAATTGGTCCTTGAGGCTTGAAGAGCGACCGTGTCAGCGCGCGTTAAGTGGTTCCACAGCATCTTGTTGCTCTGGTTCTGCGAACGCGGCTCGCGACGATGCATGCGCAGCTCCTGTTCACGCCTCATCAGACTCAAGACGAGGTGTTGATGATGGCCTGCTGTCGCAATGAGTGCGCCTGACTCGCGACTGGGACTATGGACTCGTGACTGCTACGATGAATTGAGTCGAGTCTTGTGCGCCGCGATCGTGATCGTGATCGGTTTCAGTCTTGCATATCCTCGAGATCGCGGACCATGCAGTGAATAGTCAGAAGAAGCGGGTGAGGTTGCCCAGAACTCGTGCGCGACAGTGAGTGGACGGTGTACTTTTAGTGGATGTGTACAGGTACACTTGGCTCACGTGAATTGCGAGGAGGGCAGATTTGGATTTGGATTTGAATCGCTTTTTCTAGCACGCAAAAGCATGACCGCAACCGGCGTGACTAAACAGTGTGAGTAGGCCAGAGTCAAGTCCTTTCGCAGCTAACAATAACGCCCGTACCGCTGCGAGCTTAGCTAGTGCACGAGGCAACGCCAGAAGGTCAGAACAGAGCACGTCCATTCCATCTGTACTCAACTCCTGACGACCTGGACATGTGAACGAACGCTACGAAGTGAGCAACGGCGCTAATAATACTTAAGCCTGCATTATCTGGGCACTCATCCTGTGCTTGCCTGCAAGAGGCATAGACGAGACGATCCACGGAGCCAGGCTGCATGACCTTCTTGATTGTTGACTGTCTCAAATCGAGCTGTGCACGGAAAAAGTGCCAATGACGTGCATTTGTTCGCTCTTGTTGTTGTGCGCTGGTAAACGCTCTGGGCTAGCGAGCTCTCTTCAGCCTCAGCTTTCTACAGATCATGGGCACAGAAGGCCGAGTTTGAATCAAGAATGCAATCTTGAATGATGGAGCACGTGTTTGGCCCAGAGTGGCAAAAGCAGCATCGAGAGAAGCGTAGCATCGGGCCAGGCCAATTTGAACGACATCGACGATGGCAAATTTGTGACAAGCCTTCGTCGCTCCAACATCGCACACATCGCTCATCAGTAATCTTGCGCAGTCCTCGGATGCGGCGACAACAAACGAATGTTCGATTACTATCTTGCCGGGCGATACAAGGCTGAGCGCTGAATCGTGTCAAGTTAGATCGCCTCCAACAGCCACCTTCCCGCTTGGCCGACGTCCCAGAACGCGACACCAGCAGCGGGGGACAGCTCTGCAACAGTGCTGAGTCGTTTGGAAATGGTGTGGGCGCTTGGAAAGTACGCTCTGTAGTAAGAAGCCATAGGTTGACCCTTGTTGTAGCCCTCTGGAAGTTCCTTCGGATCGGGCTGTTGGGAAGGCGGTAAGACTGCGACATAATCCAAGAATTGTTCTTGCGACTCTTCGTCCAGTCTGATCAGAGCTTTGTGTACCTTTAGACGACCTACAAGGTCTCGTTGTGTGAACGCATCTCCCGCAAACCGCAGCACTGCCCGGTGTGCGAGCTCCTCGTCTTTCTTGTCCGCTTTTGCCCGAGCAGCTTCTTGCGCAGAGGTGGAGTTGTCCTTGGACACCAGGGGAGAAGGTGGCGGAATGCGCGGCACGCCATGCTTGGAGGCTGATTTGGTCTCGAACCAACCTACTGGATACGAGTAGCCTGTGTCGCAGATCAAGACGCGCAGACCTCAGTGGATGATACTACTGCTCTGTACGGTCTGGCTAATGCGTATGACTCACCGTAGAGAGCGACCCCGAAGAGAAGCTTGTCCGCAATGCCGTGCTGGTTGACAAACTCTGTATGACCCATGTCGTTGGTCTCAAATATGTTCTGAGCGCCTGGCGTCTCCAGACTTCCGCTCAGCATCTCAATGTTGCCTTCAAGCCAGCTGATCGGTGTGTTGGGACCAGGCGTCCTGACGCCATCTTGCGCAAGGGGACTTCCTTCTGGAAGGCTGCTAGTATCATAGACATCCTCAAAAGCCTGGCCATTCATGCCAGTGTAGTCGTAGGTCATGATGTGCACAAAATCGGCAATAGGGCCAAGTGTTTTGATAGAGTGCAGCACCACCCGATTCGTCTTTTCCACTTCCGCATCAACGTGACCCGTCCGGAGTGGAGGAAGCACCACGCCAATTTGTTTGTCATTGGCTCGCAGAAGGGCCGCCAAGTGCTCCACCAAGCCCTTCATAGCCCAAACGGCGTTGCTCTCGATGACCAAGCCATCATATCCGGCTTCTTCGATGACCGTCATGACAGCGCTCGAAAAGGCTTCGAGGTGCTCTTCCTTTGTCAGCATCTCTGCCAAGTCCTCCGGTGTCCATCGGTCGAGTGCGAAGCGAGGCAGCACCTTGACGGGTGGCAAACGAGTATCCTGCTCGGCTGAGGAGAGGATCGTGTCCGACGTATTGTGGCCAGGCAGATCTGCTTCTCGGGTTGCCACTTGCAATCGATCTTTCCACTGCCTGTCTCTCTCCGTCATCTCCCCTCGCACTTCGTAGAATGCTTCACCACCCTTCTGCGCTCGAACAATGTCGACCGTGTGCCAGCAAGGTACTACGACGTCAAATTTTCCCCTATACTCCTCTACCAGCTCAGCACCCTGAGGGTTCCAGGGCGATGTGTAGCCCAGAACGGTTCGGCTGGTTGGGTGAAATGGACGGGGACAGGGAAAGCAAGCCTGTGGAGAGTGAGCAGGGGCAACATCGACTCTCTGCCAACTTCCAGCCAGATTTGGGCAGCTTTCTATCGGACGCTGTAGCGCCAGCTCAAGAGCCCTCCCTTTCGCTACTCACCCAGCCATTTTTCTTCTTTCATGTTTGTGGACTCCCTTCGAGGTGCTATTGTCCGACTGTGACAATATTGCCGACCTGCTCGGATACTGCGAGTCGATGCCCTGTGCTTGCGCCTTCAAGATACAGCTCAGCGTTGCGACGATGCAGATCAAGGCCAAGAGCAGAGATGCAGATCGAGTCCGCCAAGTCGATTTCCGCTGTGTGTGATTGGATGCAAGTGACATGGTGGATCAAGCTTCGAAGCACCCAGCTGGAAGTGATTGGCGTGTGGGAGCGATCTGGGTGAGCTTACGCTTCGCCTGATGCTGCAAAGGCTTTTTTGGCGGACGGTCTAAGCAGCGGCACCTCAAAGACGCTGAAAGAAGAAGAGGCTATTTGAGTACAGCAATTGTAACGTCAGGGCCGATAGGCGAGACGTGAATATTCAATAATTAGAAGTCAGAGTGCCTAGAGCCGTCTTGCGAGCATGGACGTCAACAGAAGGCAAAGGGAGGGAGGAGCTCACAATGTGAATGTGAATGCGGGGTTGATGCATGCACGTGATCTGCATTTGGAGCAGTTTTGGCCACGCTGACCATGCCGGCTTGCATGACTCATCAGGATCAAGATTCGTGATTGCTCCCAATGAGCGCTGGCAGGGACAGCAACCGGCATGTAAACTCGAGGACCGGTACAGGCACACATCCCCAAGTCCAAATTCAGGTCGCTTCTCAATGGTTAGTGGGGAACGCTGTGGGTTTGACAATATATCTGCAACAAGGAGGATGACTTACGACCCCCCAGCGCTTCAACGCGCGCGATTGTTGTCCCGCGGAAAGCAGCGCTCTTTCCTCGAAGGTGAACTCAGGCTTCTGGCAAGTCAGCACGCTCGCAGACAGCCCAAGTCATCGCCCTGAGGGACCGACTTCAGCTATGCACGAGAGTCTAGCCAACATCTAGGCTATACTGCAGCAACCAGGTCTGCTTTTACCACAAGGTGAAAGGAATCGAGTGCGTGCACTGAAGCTGCCCGCGGGCAGTTTCATCCTCAAGCCCTGAAGTCCTCAGCTCTGCCGTTGCCCACCCACGAAGATGCCTTTGCTTGGGCGGGCGGCCGCCGACTCAGGAGCCCGAAGGATGACCGTAGGCAAGGTATGAGTTGGCATGTCATGTCATATTGCGAGATGAATGTGCGCGGAGCGAGATGCTGCGTCTTGCGGCGAATCTGCACTCAACGGCATCCCCCGGCGACAAATGATGTTAGACATCGGTGCCACTCGATGGCCAGGGTAGATGTACAGAACGAAGGGTTTTGTTTGTTGAAACCATGATGACGATGTGAACTGAAGCGCATGTTTGCTGTTTATGCGATGAGCTGTTCAGGATGATAAAGGGAGAAGTGTCAGCAATGGAGCGGATCATGGCGACAGAGCGGGGTGCTCACCTTGACAACACCACCAGCCTCCTTGATCTTCTTCTCTGCCAATTCTGACACCCAACGTGCCTTGACGATGAAGGGAAGTTGAGGCAATCTGCCCTTGCCGAGGACCTTGCCGTAGCCAGCTGCCAGAGTGTCAATGACGGGAACCTCAGTGGAGCTCGAGGTCAAGCCCTTGCGTTGCTCAGCAGGGACGAGAGTCCAGAGCTTGTCCAGGTTGACAACTGGTCTGTAGTAACTGTTTCTGGTCAAGTGGAAGTGACGCATGCCGACCTTTCCGAAGTAACCGGGGTGGTACTTGTCAAAGTTGGTTCGGTGGTGGTGTTGACCACCAGCAAGACCACGACCTCCCGGATGCTTGCGGTGCTTGCCTGTATATCGGACACGAGGAAAGTGTGAGATAGACTGAATTGGACTTTCTCCACGAAGGATTTCGCACTCCTTTCCTGTCGCCGAGCGTCCTACACACTGATTCGCAAGGGGGGTACTTCACGCGAGAACAATGACTGACCACCTCCGCGTTCGTCCAAGCCCGGCTCGCAGTCCACATGCCTCTTTCCCTGAGTCTCTCTCTTCGGCTCCTCCAGCGCAGAGGACCTTCTTCCAATGTTTGACCTGACAGTCACCCCAGCATTTCCTTCATGGTTATGACGCATCACTCACCGACACGACCGTGACCGCCGGAGACGTGTCCACGGAGCTTTCTGTTCTTGCTGAGTCTGGACGGCCTATTCACACCGCATCGAGATCAACAAAAGCCAGGATGTTCCGAGCATTCCCACCATGAGTGAACGCGTCCCAGCAGCAAAAGAGACCATTGCGCGCGGCGTGAAAGGTGGGAGTCGTAGCGCATCGCAAAACCATGGGATGATCATCGTTGGTCGGGGGTAAGAGAGCGCAAGGCCGAAGGAAAAAGAGACGAAACATGGTCAGTATACCGTGAGCAAGATCTTATAAGGTAGACGTATTTTCACAGGCATTACACGTACATCTTGAAATCTTGATGTCGAGATGGATGGTGGAGAGGTGAGCGTCAGATGATAGATGCGCCGAAGTTCGTGGGCACAGCCTGGCTGGCCCTCAGCGCAATCGCGCTGCGGCTCGCGCACGCCTTTGGCGCCTGACATGTACTGCAAAATTCGAGACCCGTGCGAAAGCAATGACGCCACGTGGTCATACTCGAGCCGACCGCCTGCAGCATGCAGCAAGGCGTGCGAGCCGTCACGCCTGGCCCTCAAGCCAAACGCGACTTTGGTACCGCGGGTCGCTGCTGCATGGGGTGAGTGTCTGGCGGCGCGTGAGAGTTTGGATGCGCTCAGCGATGCTCTATTGGCATTCACATTCAGTCACGAGTGATTCAAGATTCACATTGAGGGTCATGAATCCCACGCATCATGGCAAACGTTCACCGGTCCTTTCTGAAGCTTCAAATGAGGAGTGCCAGGGCCGCCAGTCAAGCTATGCCTGCCCATAAGACAGTACTCCTTGATCAGTGATGCGAACCAGCTCTTGAGCCCCAAGTTCACGTCATCCGTTCGAAAGCGGAGGCATCAGGGATCCGACCTGTTCCTGTTTTGAGCCCTTGACGCAACCGCTCTCGCGAGCATCTTGACTCTTCTTCGGCCAACTTCTCGACCACCTGAGTGGCACAGAGAGAGCACTGCAACATGGCGTCCTCAACTTCGCGCAACACTCAGTTACCTTCAGCTGCTATCTTCCAACGCCACATCCACTGTGGCCGATGCATGCGACCAAGAGACGAAGCTGTAGACGCTCATGTGCCACTAAGCCAGCAAGGGTCACGTTCTGTGCCCACTCAAGGTTCCACCAGCAGGCCTGCATCGTCTCGTTTGAACACTGCTGTGTCCATCACCGCGCCTACGGAGCCGCTCCTGTCCAAAGAACCTTTCTGGCTCACCCAAGTGCGAGGATTCGATGTCTGCCAAGCAGTGGCTCACATCTGCGCTGACGTCCATGTCCTCTTGCGGACCATCGATGTGCTGCTCACTCCCTTTCGTCAGTGCGCTCACATCATTTGCGGCAACTGCCAATTTCCTAACGGCAGTGCGTCGACTTACTAGACACAAGCTAAGAAAGGCCATATCGGTCGCTGCTGTGCTCACTGACCTACTAGCCGGACCATACAGCCCCTGTGCAGCCACACGAACGGACGCATACATGCGCACTGTGCCAAACGTCGCGCATCAGCATTTCGCTGCTCACCGACACCAACGTGAGTGCTCATCGACCTGGGGTCTGGGTCGCCATCTGACCACTACAAAAGGTCGGACTAAATACACAATGAATGCAGCTACCACCGGCTGTTGCGCCATACTTTCGGCAAGTCTCCACCATTCTTGAAGAGGTAGCAGAGGTTCACCTCTTTCAAGCTACGCACATGGGGTCGCTGATCGAGTTCGTGAGAAGTCGCGCTGCTCTCTATGCGTCAGAACGCCGGACTAAGTCCCTTAGCATCGCGCCCAGTTACTTGCGCAAAAAGGTACTCGCGCAACGTCAAGTGCTCGAAAGAGTGAAGCTGGAATTGGAAATCTCGCGCGAGCGAAAGCGGTCAGTCTGCCTGGCATATGCATCCCGAGCCTCGCATTCAAATTTCTTCCGTATCGCAGACGTATCGAGGAGCTGGAGTATGATGTGGCTGAGCTACAAGCTCTGCTACAACAGCACGGCCATCGTTTCGAGGCTCAAGTCGATAGGATCGAGGAGCCAGCCCAGCCGACCGCCCACACGATACCACCGATGACACCGAACAGCTTCGCCTTCCAGACGCATTCCTCAAAACGTCGCAGGTGAGCTGATGTGGCTCGCCCACGAAAGCGCAATTGGTGGCCACTGCTCACAGAGACGTATCCAGATCATCTTCGCCACCATCCAAGATATCAGGAGCTCAGGCTGGGCCATCTTTCGCGTCAAGCCCCCAATCAGCGAGCCAGCACCTCCACACGCTTACGCCGCAACGGCCTACTCAGCGATCCGAATCAGGCGCCGCGAAGCTACGGTGAGGCGTGGTTATTGCAGGTGACCCGTCGTCTTGCTGAAAACCTCTGTACCAACCGGCAGCCGATTCGCGCACACGTCGTCTTCGTCGAGGCCCCCTAGCGGGACTGTCGCGAGTCACGGCCCTGCGCTCTTCCAAGGCGCGAACTCGAGTAGTCTTCCGATGGGGCCACCTCGCTTTTCACGAAAAGAATTTGCTGAGCAATTTGAACAAGACTCATCTCGTGATGCTCAGTATCAAGCGAATACCGCGCTAGCTGGTAGGTGCCGCTGAAGACCAGATGTAAGGCGATGCGTAGAGGTGGCTCATGTGCTGTAAGCTACGGTGTTACTTCTCTGCAGCTGCCGGTTCTTCCACTCCAGCGCATCACGGCACACCTCGCCACTTGCGAAGGAACCACCTAGAGGAGCATTCAGCACGACCGTCGATCTCTCGACCGTCTCCTCTATCTGGTGACATCTCTGCCGGGACCTTCGCTTCCGCAGAAAGAGAGACCGTTGGCCATAGCAGGCCATCCACACCCTCCCACCGTCCTTCAAATGCAAGTGGTCACCTGCTGACACCGAGAAGCAGCGCAAACAGCAATCGCGCTCCTTTCATTCCCAAGTCTAGCTTTCGTTGACTGTCAAGATCATGCCAGGAGGGACATCCATCTTGATCGAGAGGCACAGTTCTCGTTGAATTTTAATGGTCGCACAAGAGAAGTTGCGGTATAATTTGCATGAGTCTGTGGCTCGCACCTTCTCTGCGCTCAATGACGCAATCCACTACACAGCGATCGACAGCTAGGAAGGACGTTATCACCACGTCCGTCTCGCCATTTGACAGCTGGAGGAGCTCGATCTGTCAGGTTATTGCTGCCGAGACCAAGACTCGGACTACACTCTGGATACCGTGACGGAAGTATACATGAAACATAGCAAATGCATGGCTTTGACGTGACCTGCGCGGTCGATGATCACCGAACCAAAGTCAAAAGAGAGTCACAAGTCCAAATTCCAAAGTGTTGTCTCAGTTCCTTGTGGTGTGGACTCGCACTTTTGAGTCAAGAGTCTGCTCTGACTTGTTTGACTTGAGAAGTCGTTTCGGCATGTGTAGCTGTCGATCACGTGATCGCTCAGACGCACGATGGTGAACGCCTCTTGCTCTGCCGTGTAGCGGAGGCATGAGTCTTCATCCATCTTGGCACTCTGACTCATTTACCACCTTACTCGTCACTGACAGTCGGGTCCCTATCACAATAGCGCTTCAAAGCTGAGGCTGATCAACGTCGAACATTGACATTTCTCAAATCTTGTAGGAGCCAAGTATATTCCGCGCCACAGCAAAAGTTATCAGCCCTCCGATTCGTCACCTCGGCTTCGTCTGGCGAAGGCGGAAATTTGGAGAGAACTTTTTGTACACTCGTACTCGTCTGAGCAGGGCAGATCATAGACACCGCGGCTGCCTCTCATATACGAGCTTTCGGCATGGCTTCTCAGCTCACGCAAGCCGAGCAAGATGCGGTCCTTCGCTCTAGGTTGGCCGTACCGGAAAGGGCCCTTCGAAGCCTGATGAAGCGCTTGACTTCCGTTGCTGCTCCTCTGCCTTCCAACGAGGGCGCCTCGAGTAGCGTCTCGATCGAGGATACGACGATGATGGGTGTCAGTGAAGAAGCTGCGACCGAGGATGTCGAGCTACGGTGAGTGGTGCTCGTGCGGCCGAATTGCTATGATGCAGCCATGGTCTATATACGTCATGCTAGTCGACACGGCTGGTTGCTGACCTTGTGCCGTACCTGTTCGCTCTTCTCAACGATCAGAGCCACGCAATTGATAGCGCTCAAGACCGATCTTGCCGCGTACGTTGCCAGTCTGATCAGATCATCGAAGGTTGCGAGAAATACCTGCACGGCGGAAGTCGAAAGTTACGAGGAAGAGGCGCACCAAATCCGTGAGCTTTGAAGAGATGGGTCAAGCGGCCCGAGGGAGAGACGATGCAAGCTCTTATCGGCTGTGATGTTAAGCTGACTGAGCTCCCACGGGGCGCTTGACTTGCAGAGGAGGAGCATGAAGCTGATACGAAGAGGATTGAGGAGCTGAAGAGGGAATTGGAAGAGGCTAGAAGGGAGAGGGGCAACAAGCTGCTGTACGATCAAGTGGTCGAGCGTATGGGCAAGATGGACAGTCGAAGAGGCTATGCAGAGTGAGTAAATAGAAACATCAGCAGAACAATCAGCAGGCCGAAGCTCGGACTTTCTGAAATACGCTGACCTCCCGGACGATCTCAGATCGCTCGCCAGTCTTCGCGCTCAGATCGTAACGCTGGAGAAGCGCAACGAACGACTGTCCACGCTCTCTAAATCGTCCAAGGATCAATTCGAGAATCTCTTCTCGCAGATGAACTCGCTTGGCGAGTCTTTACGAGGCGTCAAGATGAGTGGAGCCTTGGGCTCAGATGAGGAAGAGATTGAATCCGATTCGGAGAGCAGTGCAGCTTCTGACGCGGGCGAAGGGCCTGAAGATCCCTCGAGCGGACCGACACATTCCAAAGCGGATGCTGCTTCGGGTAGTAAGAGAAGCTTGAACCCGGCTGCCACTTCATTCACTCCAGCACGTCCAGCTTCGTCGTCTTCGGCGTCTGGCGAGAGGAAGAGGGCCAATGCGGAGAGTGGGGAAAGCCGTAGCGCGAGGAGAGCAGGCACCACCTCTGCTGTGGTCGATGATGCACGTAAGCGACGGAGAGGTGGGACCTCTACGCCGCTGGCTGCGTCGACCAGAGCACCGAGCGTAGAAGAAGGCGAGGAGGAGGAAGGAGCAGTCTGAGCCTGAAGACTTCAAGCAGGAACATCTAGTCAATTTGACGCATCAGATGTTGTAATATAGAGCCATTGATGATACGATGCAATTGTTACAAACGCGCCAACGTCGATAAACAAAGATTAGACAGATGGTGACGTGAAAGGGATGCACGCTTCGCTGGGGTTTCAGGGCGCACGCCAGGGCAACATCTATGATACATGAACCGAACGATTTCTTGCCAAATAAGACCAGCGATCTACGCATCATCGCCAGCCTGAGCCATGCACACCTTCTCAACAAAGCCTCTCCACCTCTCCACAAGAGTACAGACCTTTTCAAAGCCGTCAAGTACCGCTCCAGCTCTGTTCGCACCTCCTCTGACCGCATCGCACGAGTCCACAAGACATTTCTTGGGAACCATAAAGATTTCTCTATGCTTCGTTCCGCAATCTTTGCACGACTCTGATAGCTTTGTGCAGCCGTGCAGCTGCAAGAGCGAAAGGTGTACGAGATGTTCCCACTGCCATGAAGATGTTGTGCGTGGAGCATTCCTCTGTCAGCTCGTGAGTATTCCTTTCGAGGTACCCGTACGCTGCGAGGCAAAGCTTTGACGCACCATGTGGCTGCCATGAATGCCTTGTTGCGTAGGTGCTGAAGCGCCAGAAATGACGCCTTGAGATGCGTCGCTCGGAAAGAACGCTCTCAAGACTGAGCGAAGAAGATTCATGGGCGAAATTGTGAATGGATGAGTCAGACAATGGCGTGTCACTATCAGCTCCGAAGATACCGCGCTTCAATGCTTCGTTTCGCGAAGCAGCTGCTAACCTGGATCCTTGCTTCCGCATTGCTCTCTCCACTGACCGATCCTTTCAAACACTCTCGCCGCTCTGCCGACTTTGAAGCAATACTTGTCTCTCGTATCCCTATCTCTGAGGGAATAGATGTACACGTAACCCCTCTCCCCCATGTCCGAAGCGGACATTGGTCCTCCCATGATCGCTCTGATCTTGGCCGATGTCGAAGCGTGGACTTTGAAGTTTGCAGAGGATGCCGATGCGGATGTTGCCGACGGATGCACCTCTGGAATGTAAAGCGAAAAGGGAATGAAAGTTGTTCGAGATGCCGACGTGCAAAGAGGGTCTGGAACGAAGAGGTGTATACCAGTAGCCTTGTTGATCTCCTTGACGTGCTGATGACAGAATTCTGCTCGATACAAATCTCTTTCTACATCCTTCTTCGTGCGCTGTAGCCCACAGCTCGGCAAAGTGTCCAGTTCGGATTCAGAATCCGAAATGACGATGGGCGCATCTTGTCTTCCCGTCTTTGCATCGCGCTCATCTCCGGTCCGCTTGACAGGCGACGCGCTCTGCGTTCTCGACCTGCTGGCACTCGTTCGGCCGCTAGACTGCTTGGAGGGTGGCGTGGCAGTCCCAATCAACGACGTTCGAACTTGGCCCACTCTCCTGGTGCATCTCTGACCATCCTTACGAATACCTGCACATTGTCCAGCAAAGCCCTTGAGGACAGGCCCAGCGTCCGTGTTCGCACCGGAAGGGCAGGCAAGCTTTTCATTGCGGTCAGGAATTGACAATGCAGTCTTGCCCGAGCTCGGGCCGGCGAGACCTGGCTGTAGAAAGTCGGATTGCGAAATAGGATGAGGCCCGGCTGGATGGAGCACAGTTGGGTGTGGCGCATTGATGTTACGATCTGGCCGACTGTTGGAGACATCGACACCATCCCATGGATTAGGAAATGCCAGTCTACCATGCGCAGTGCCCAGGATGGGCGAGTTGTACGCAGCGTGTCCGTGTCCATTCAGACTGACTCCAGCAGCGGGTGAGAAGTCGGGCAACGTGGGTTGATGCGTTGCTGAGCTATAAGCAGTGGGCTGCGGAAAGCGGATGGGCATACTGGAAGATGTCGAGGGTATGGAATGCTGCGAGATGCGCCGATCAAGCAGCAGCGGTGGTCTAGGCAGCAGCGCATGTGTCTCTTGATCGCCGCTCCGACCTACACCCGCATGGACCGGCCGAAGTGGAGACTCGACGCTAGGCATCCCAGTCGACCATTCTGATCCACCGTGTGATGCCGCTTTGGGGGGCAATTTTGGCGGACGAAAGTCGCTTTCCTTGCCTGACCGAGCATCGGGTCGGTCCCTTTCTCCATCGATACGCGTCTTTCGCAGGGCTTTCGCCAAATCAGAAATGAAGCTTGGCATCTTCGTCTGCAGGCGGCAGAAAGCTCATCGCCGCCATCAGCGTAGCAAAGGGGCGATAATGGAGTGCACTAAGATCAGACGGTCTGGACGAGGGAGCGTACTCGTACTCGATGCGCATCGATCGGCCTTTTGCGCGTTGGAACAGCAACGCGCCACACCTCCCTCACCTGCAACGAAACACCGCCACGCACAGATCAAAAGGGAATTCAACGCAGCACGCACGGCATTCGATTCCTGCTGTGTACATCCGTCGCGGCTTGATGAAGCACAGCAGACAACATTTCACGTGATTGTGAGCAACGGAACACCGCACCGCACCGTCCACTCATCAGACTCATCAAGACTCGAGGCTGGAGCGCCAAGCTAGCTGCTGACTCTTCTATCGATCCTTCGCATGTATGCATTCATCCCCGACGACTCCTCGAGGCCCAGAAGATGTACGGATGGGCCCCCATGCAGATCTGACGCTCACGCGCACACAAGTCAGGACGCGTAGTATCACGTGCACGCCATGCCGGCCCAGAACAGCGCGCCCTCAATTTGCGGTTCAAGTTTCAGATTCACCAACACTCATGACTGAAGACATGGGACTCACACTGGCAAATCCGCTGAGCATCGGCAGTCACTTGGTGCAACGTGACAAGAGCTGAGGCGATTCGAATGGTCACGGGAGTCATGTCATTGCAACAGATTGCCCTGAGTAGCCTGGAGTCGATGTGCTGCTGCAAGCGCTGGCAGATGGGCTCTACGTTGTCTGCCCAGCACTTTGATGGACATGCATCGCACACGACACAGAATGTTGCAGCGAAAGAGATCCTCTTCAGATCTTGTCGAGCGGTCGATTGAATCCTATAAGGGTGGGCGAGAGGCGTGTGGACGTCAGCATTGCCTGCGTGTGGGAAGTGCACGTGAACATGACGGGGTGTTGCCCACCTCCTTGCCTGTTCATGTACTGCCTCCAACTCCTCTCCTTTCGCACATTTGCCGCTCCTTCTGAATTACCAGCTACATGCTTGCCCTGCGGTGACGGGAGCGTAGAAGTCAATGAGGGCATTGAGCCAAGCGTAAAGAAGCGCACGCTCGGATGCATGTCTTTACAACGCACCTTTGTTGAACCAAAGTTGCCGAAGCCCTGCGACAGAGTCCCCAACAAGCTCGTGTCAGCACAGACAGCACGCATTGACGACATAGGTTCTACAGCCCAACAAGCTCCCTCGCGACTCACCATGGCTGCCATCATGGCCTGCTCATCCTCTCCCACTTCAACTTGCCCTGCATTCTGGACTGCGCCACCATCCACAGACCCAGTCGCGCTGCTTCTCTTCCCCTTGCTCGACCTTGAGGTGCCTTCATGCTTGCGATCAAGCTCTTCCTCCCGCCTTTCTCGGTGTGCTCCACCAGTATTGCGATCCGGATCTGATTCTCGATCGTACTCGCGATCAGCGCGTCTTGCACCGGACCTGGATACTGGGCTCCTACTCCTCCGATCGCTTCTTTCATCTTTGCCGTGACGAGCATCTCTAGCAGACGCATGTCTCTCGTCTTCTCTTCTGCTGCTACCATATCCTCTCTCTTCTTCTCTCCTGCTGGAATGCCTCTCCCCGCCAGCGTACCTCTCATCCCTCCCTCTGTCTCTGTAATCGTCCCGCTCATACTCTCTTCCACTTCGACCTCCGTGATCCTTGTCTCGAGAGCTATAAGATGGATCGTCATAATCGCGATAGCCCGCTCTGTGCGACGAGGCAGGTAGAGGCTCGCGCGCCCGATAATCCCGCCTATCATCCCTCGACGATCGTTCAGGGCGACCATAGGGATCGGATCTGGAAGAGTGGGACATCTTCCTTTGCGCTGCAGGGTCGCTGTGAAAGTTTCTCGATGCTCAAATGTTAATGACAACTGACTGAGACCGACGCTGTCTTCGTGGGCGCCATGCAGAAGGAGGAATGGTGAGGGGAATGTCGACTCCCCGGCGGGCGAGTGGATCGTTGCCCTTCAGAGGAGGTGCCGTACCCAAGACTCGCGACTAACCCAGACTCAAGACTCGTGATTGCAGGTGAGTGAGTGAATCGACGATTTGATTGAAGATTGTGCGGAGCCATGCATGCACGCACGCATGCAACCTCGCGGCCGCCGAGGAGTTTGAGTGCGCCAGAAACGCGCCTTTGCGCGCGCGCGACGCGTGCTCGCGCATCCATCCATCCCACGCACTGCCAATCACGAATTGTGAATCTCTTTTGACACCAACAAACACTCAAACTCACTCTCTTCAATTGTGACTGATGTGCCTCTTGCGGCACTAAGAAATGACTTTTCCTCTCAGCGCTCAGACTCACCTTTGCTCAGCACTGAATTGCTCCCAGAGACGTCGCCAGCAGCGCATCTCAAGAAATTTGAGCGGCACAACAGCATGAGTGGACTGCGAACCATGAAGCGAAGCTGGTCCGGCAACGCAGAAGATCTAGGAGAATCGGACGTCGTGTTCCTGCGCACGAGTCAGCAGGTATCGACCTCCAACCCGAACCTGCAACCCATCGCCTCAGGCTCCCAATCCGCCAAGACCCACACGCCAAGGCGGAAATCTGGTGACCCTTTGGGCTTGCTACCTTCTTCGGAGATCAAACCTGCTGCTGCGAGCTCTGGAGTACCTATCGAGTGGTCCCCAACCCCCTCTCCCGTTCGTAATCAGCGCACTCTGGACAAGGTAGCCAAGGATTTGACAAATAGGATGGATGGTGAGTAAAGGTCACGCAAAGCGTCGCTTCTGCACGTGCTAAAGCTGTACAGAGCGCATGTATGCCCAATGTCCGTGTCTTCCACTGTTGCTCAGCTGGGCGAGAGGAGCGTCCAGAGGCCGCCTCGAAGGGAACCAAGAGACGCAAAGGCGAGATCAAATTTGGGGCGGCTCGTAAGCCCAGCAATGATGCGAAGCGAGATTCTGCCATCGAGAGCAACGCGTCGCAGCAAGAGGAAGCATCCTCCAGTCGCTTTATCCCTTCCATCTTTAACAAATCGGCCGCTCAATTGAGAGAGGATAGGAAATTGGCCGGGGTGAATCCGCTTCATCGTAGTGGATCTACTAGCTCGGACGCGTCTGGGGTGCGGGAAAAGAAACCAAAGCTCAGCAAGGTTTTCTTGAGCAAGGAGCAGCAGATGATCTATCAATTGGTGGTGGATGAGGGAAAGTCTGTATTCTTCACGGGTAGCGCGGGTGAGTATTCGAGCTAGCTTTCGATATGTGGAATGCAGAGTGTGCTGAGGAGATCAACCCTTTGAACAGGTACTGGCAAGTCGGTCTTGCTCAGAGAAATTATTGCGGGGCTCAGGCGGAAATTTGCGGCCAAGCAACAGCAAGACTGTATAGCCGTGACGGCCTCGACTGGTATTGCTGCTTGCAACATCGGTGGTGTCACCTTGCACAGCTTTGCCGGAATTGGACTAGGTACGGATCCCACACCTGTCCTCGTGACGAAAATCAAGCGGAACAGGAAGGCAGCGGGACGATGGCTAAGGACAAAGGTTCTCATCATCGACGAAGGTGAGTTAGCGTGGTCCACGGACATGCTTCGAGGAGACATCGTCGGCTCAGCCAAGATTTACCACCTCTACAGTGTCCATGATCGATCCTGCATTATTCGATAAGTTGGAAGAGGTAGCGAGAGCAATGCGAAAATCGCCAAGGAGCTTCGGTGGCATCCAGATCGTCGTCACTGGCGACTTCTTCCAGCTGCCGCCCGTCGCGAAGAAAGGCGAAGCGACGCGTTTTGCGTTCGAGGCCCAAAAGTGGGACGAAGCCATCACGCACAAGGTCAATCTTACACAAGTGTTCAGGCAAAAGGATGAGAGTGAGTCTATCGAGTTGATGCCTTCAGCTCTCCTCATTTTCAGCCGTCACACAAGCGGCTGACTCGGTCGCGCGTAGCCTTCATCCAAATGCTCAATGAGATGAGATTCGGTCGTATGTCGGAGGACACGATCAAACGATTCAGGCAGCTCGATAGAAGGCCGCAGGCTCAAGTAGGTATCACGCCCACCGACCTCTTTCCCATGCGCCACGAAGTTGAGCGAGCCAACACTGGTCGTTTGGACGCCCTGCGACAACCGTCCAAAGCTTTTAGAGCTCTGGATGGAGGCTCTTTACCTGAAACAGAGCGGGCGCGAATCTTGGATAGCTTCCTTGCTCCTCAGGTAGTCTACCTCAAGGTCAATGCGCAGGTCATGCTGATCAAGAATACCGACGACGTACTAGTCAATGGATCTATAGGCAAGATCACCGGATTCATGGACTGTGAGCGGCCCGCTTTGCACTGACGCTGACCTGACCTTAGCAAGTGCGACTGCTCATGCACTCGATGATTCTTTCCTTAGTGAGCGAGTACAAATCGCGTATCTCTGCAGGACAGGATCTAACGAAGACCAAGAAGGACGGGAGCGTGGACCTTGTGAAGGACGAGATTGCGGAATCGACGGAGTTCAAGGGTGCCATCAAGCCAGGTGCTGCAGGATCGGTCGCTGGTGATCGGTCCAGGTCCACTTCTCCTGTCAAGACTCCAGCTCCGGGGCAACAATTCCCGCTTGTCAACTTTGTTGTGCCAGGCGGCGTGCGGGCAGAATTGGTTATACCAGAGACTTGGAAGAACGAGGATTCGATGGGTACCGTGCTCGCGTCGAGGACGCAAGTGGTGAGTTGGATCGTGTATGTCACCCCATCTGGGCAAGCCATGCTAATGCTGGTATGATCAAAATCAATCGTACACCTCTTGCAGCCTCTGATACTTGCCTGGGCCAGTAAGTGTGGAAAGGAGGGCTGCGGGTGTGCGACAGGACGTTTGCTGACTGACTTTGTCCTCGACTTCGTCGTGCGCAGTGTCAATACATAAAGCGTGAGTGGCATAACGTCTAAGGCGGGGTACTACCTGCACAGCTTTTGACTTCTTTCTCTTGCCTTCAATCAGTCAAGGCCAGACTATTTCATGCTGCAAGGTAGACCTGACGAAGACGTTTGAGAAGGGTGAGTCCGACAAGTACATGCTTTTCCGATGCGCCCCCCAGCCTGAATGCCTCTTGCCAGCAGCTGATGCTCTGCTTTCTGATATTGCATCACAGGCCAAGCATACGTGGCCATCTCTCGCGCAACATCCTTGGAAGGCCTGCAAGTGGTGGGCTTCAAGCCTGAAGCTGTGAAAGCTCATGACAGAGTCATTGAATGGAGCAAGACGCTCAATATACTAGCTCCTTCTTGAATGGCATCACTTCCCTTCTCGCACGATACGAATGGCTTCGACAAGTCCGATACGATTGATGGGACAAGCTCCTCGGAGCTATTAGTGCATCAGCCTTAAAAGAGCATCCCGTCCCGCAATGCATTGGGCTACATCCATCATCATGTGCTGTGGACTCGTGCCCCGTCAGCCGTCGCGGCGCGTCGAGAGCCGTTTGTCGAGTCGCACATCAGGTGCAGAGCTGCACACGTGGGAGTAGGTGTCCTCTTCATCGGAGCATTGCTCGATCCCGACAAACGCGCTCGACTGTCATAGGATCCGACTGATTGGGGATCTAAGCTTAGGCGCAAAAGATTGCTCTCAGACTCTTATCTTGGCGACTTTCGCGAAAGATTAAAGGTAGAGGCGTAAGTGAGTGACTTTAAGGATTGCTTCCCAGTCCTCAAACCTTGAGTCCCAGAGTCAGAGTCAAGGGTCAGCGAGTATTCGTGATAGTCGTGATTCAAGATTCGTATTTACAGATTCAAGGCTCTGGGGATTTTACTTTGCGTGTGCAGCCACAGAATTGTCATCACGTGATGCGTGTCTTTGACGCGTGAAGTCGCATGCGCGCAAAATACAAAGTGGCAGGCGCATCGAGCACATGCCGTGCAGCAAGCAGCTAGGCTCGGCAGCAACACGCACCACTCACCACTCGCCATCCACACTCGCGCACGCACTTACATTCATCCAAGCATTCATATTGATCTCCCAGTCCCCCACTGCAGATTACGCTGCTGCTCCCGACAAGTAAGACTTGCTGCTCAACATTGGCAGCGAGCAACATTCACGTGCACCTTCGTACCAAAGTTGCGCAGGACTTGTCCATCGCGCCAACAGCTCGAGGCACGCTCTTTGCTCTGTGCAACCACGAGTCTGCCACAAGCTTCATTTGTCAGCCAGCGCGACGTTCAAAGGCTCGAAGCCTTTGCTTGCCGGCGCATATCATCCAGGAACACTTGGTGCAAACCATTTTTCTTACCCGCTCCACCTCGGGCTGCGTGATCGGTTGATACTCCTAGCACGTTGATCGGCTCATTAACATGCGTCTAGCACCGCGCGCCACCTTGAAGCGTTTGATCCGCTCCCACATCTCCTCTTATCGTCTAAACAAAAACGTGGACATTCTAGTCTACCTGGCTTTCCTCTTATGGCTGCGCAAATTGGCAAATGAGAGCAGATTGGAGATGCAACTTGAGGCGGGGATGGGTGGACCTGTCGCCGGAAGGATTATGGGTGCTCGACATGTCAGGGCTGCTAGGAGGCGCGCGAGGGGATAAAGGGGGACGCTTTTAGCATACGTGCGTCAGAATGACATCAACGCTGATATCGGAGGGGTCATCCAGTGGGCGCATGGACGGACATTCAGCCCCGCATCATCAAAGACGACGCAGTTTCGAGCCCTCTCTCTCCGGGCCTTCACGGCATTCCACTATCGCTGTTCGACCCTCGTCTCAACCAAGCCGAAGCGATTTGCAATGTCAACAACACTTGCTATCCACGGCATCACCATGAGCACCCTGATCTGAAACTTGTGCCTACAAGCATCCCATGTCGCAACCTTTGGCTAAGAACCCCTCCCGATGCAAGTACTATGCGACATCGCGCTCGCGTCGGCAGTGCTCGGAACGCAAACAGCGGTCAGACTTGGCGCGAATGGCAAATCTCTTTGACCCCCTTGTCGAGCATCAATAGCGGTGCATTCCCACCATCTGGTGCATTCTGCGCCGCTGATGCCTCTTCAAGGGTCACTCGCCCCTTGCCTTTCTCGAAGAAGGACACTGCCGAATGAGCAGTGACAGCCATCTCCGTCCTATCCTTCCTCATCAAGGTGTGTCTTTCATTCGCGCTATCCTGGAGCTTCTTCGCCTCGTACGTACAACTCCCTGTGCACACAAAACAGCTCGTGCATACATGCCTTGATCACTCTTCTGCGGACCCATCTCGAATTGCGGATACCGAATCGTGAATTGAATTGGGTATTTGCAGATTGGTCAAGAGGATGAAGGATACGTACACAGAAGATGGTGGAGCTCGGACTGATCATTTTCTTGTCGAGCAGATGAAGTTGAAAAGAAATGTTTTGTAGAAGAGGATTGACGGCGCGAATGTCAGAAATTCGATGGCTGGAGATGTGGAGTGCAAGTCGGCCGTACCAATGAATGTCGGAGCCAGCAAATACCCTCAATCTTCGACTTCACTCTGATGCAGAGCGTGTTGCCGCTCGTACAAATTTGCAAAGGCTCTCTGTAAGAGCAAGATGAATGGCACGTGCAAGAAACCTATCAGCATTCAATCGTGTAACGCAGCAGGTAACAGTCGAGCGTACTCACATCAGCATACATGTTGATATTGTCTTCGCCCATCTCTTCACAGCTGGTGTAGAGCCGCCTGATCAGGTCCCGCATGGTCCATTGATCAATCGTGATGGTTTTAGGGCAGGCCAGCTCCATGCTCAAAAGCTCCCTGATCGTAGCTCTCTTCTTGGCGTCCCAGAGCAGAGACTGTCTCATGCTCTCGACGAGCGGAGGTTTCACATCTCCAACCTCACTTCCGTTATCGTCCCTTCGCTTGTTCTCGAATGGGATCTGATGGTTCACGTCGCAGATAGCTGCCAGCTTTCGATCGGATCGAATGGCGTC